GCCCAGGGCTCCTTAAAAGATACACTTTGCCCATTTGAAGCATTTCTTTGTCAAGGATCCCTGCTTTTTTCTTTAACAGGTGGGGGGGGGGCTATGAATTTGGACCTGCTTGCCATGAAAGTTGCTTGAACCCTTTCCCACACAGTTTCAGGTCGAATTCCAAGGCCCTGCAGGCAAAAGGCAAGAGGCAAGAGGCTCGGCTCGGGACCCCGGCTCGGCTCCCCTCGCAGAACCCGCTTCTCGCGGCGGAGAACTTCTGCGCCCGGGAGCAGATCCACAAGAGCAACACGGAGCAGATCAGGCCGGAGACGTTCTCTCATCGGTGACATGGGTCAAAATCCAAAATTCCGTATCCCCAGTGAACATCCGATTCAATCCAACCACTAAAATAGGAAGCCTAAAATGGGGTGCTGAATTCACCTACCCCAAAATGGTACCATTGGTTTTGACCCACAGCCATGTGGTTGCTCTTTTCCGTTTTGGGATCCCATTTTGGTTGGGGTTGGTGAATTCACCACCCATTTTAGGCTGTAATTTAGTGGTTGGATTGAATCGGAGGTTCCACATGCCAAGAAAATGAGTTGAGGCAATTCATCATCCAGAATGCCGGGGAGGGTGCAGGCTCAGGTCTGCGGCCTCAAATATGTGCAATCAGCTTGAAAGGAGGAGAGAGAGAGCGAGAGAGATTGATAGAGAGAGAAGATGGCAAACGCAAAAGAGACTCAGAAAAAAAAGTGAGAGCCTTCAGAGTAAGACGTATTTTTCCTTGAGCGCACATAGGCGCGTCGTCCGCGCCAACGCCAGCGCCCGCTCCAGCACCTGCACCAGTCCCAAAAGAGGCTGTGACAGGTGTCTTCCCCGCCACCCGGTGGCATTGCGCAAGTGCTGTGCTTCACTTCGGAAGCTTATCATGGCCCCTTGAAGGATACACTTGGGACAGTTGGAACATTGTTTTTGCTAGCTGATGTCGAGGATTCACCTGAAAAGCAGATGGTTTTTGCCCCAGAGTTTCACCCTCATGGTCCAGGAGGGAAACTAGGAATCTGGCGCCCGTATTCATGCGTATTCAGCTTCACTCATATTTACTTTCACAGCACATCTGCCAACATAGCCCAGAGTCAAATCCCACCTAGCCAGGGATTATTGGGGAATGGTCGCTACCTGTGCAGGGCAGTTCCCTCCTTTGTGTTTTCCGAGCAGCTTCCTCAGGGAAATTCTCCTCTGGGCACTCCGTTGTCCCCAGGTGTTGCAGCCGGCTGTGTTCAAGGCAGGCTGAACAAATGCAGGGAACGACTACATGTGGAAGAGCTGAGGATCAAGATGGCAGATTCTATTTGGGGCCTTTGAGAATCGGGGTTTTGGATACTGAAATGATAGGCTTTGCTTGAGAATCTGCGTGTTTCCATTCCAAAGTTTGTTTTTCACCGATTCAGACCATACCATTGATAGACATCTTCGCTTTGGCGTTGTATTCGAATCGCCCCATTCGGACGGCAATCCATCGGGCCATTGCAAGTTCCGCGGGTTTCGAGGCCAAGCCTTGGGGCCTCTGGTTTCGTGTTTTCGTGTTGTTTCTTCGAATGGAATTTGGGTATGGGTCAAAATGAGTCACCACCAGGATACACGGGTTTTGGTCCGCGTTTTCATGTACCAGGGTTCCATTTTGGGTACCTATTTTTGACCCACTGCCATTTAGAGTTTTGTCCGTCGCAACATACTCTGTCTGTGTGTCAAAATCGGTGGACACAACCCTATGGCTTTCCTTTCGGCTTCCCTTTGAACAACCCTGCAAGAGGCGGTGGTGTTGGGTAACGGTTAGTTGCTCGGACAGCGTAAGACCCACCCAAGTTGGGCGGGTTCCAATCCCCCCACGTACCACGGGACCGCTCCAGCCGTCCCGTGGAAACCTGAAAACCGTGTGACTGAACAACCCTGCAAGGATACCTTCGAAAGAAACAACAAAACACATGGAACAGCCTCAAATTGCGGGGCTTGCGTGCAGGATGGAAAGTTCCCAGCGCTGCAAGGGAAGATCTTGGAGTTCAACGGCCAGGCGCGTCCAGATTCGACGAGCTTTGAGCAACTTGGCATTTGTCAAATGGTCGCCATCGCAGGTGGATGAATCTTTGCAGCTAGACCCCGTTGAGGCAGGAAACGCCTTCCGCCTGAGGCGTGAGCCACTTTAAAGCCTCCCGGGTCAGGTCAATCATCTGACGGCTGGCATCTCCAAGCTACAGATGGGCGTCTCCACCGAGCTGAGGGACTGCGAGAAAGAGGCAAGTCTCTGCCGTGGCCAAAATGGCACCCTGACAAGTCTCAGTCAGTCGAGCGGAACAGCGCCATCAGCATGCCATCAGCATGCTTCGAGCAACGCGGACATTGGTTTTATCCGTTTTCCCGGCAGATCATCACCAAGACGCTGGGCAAGTGGCCTAACGACAAGCTCTTCCCCGTCGTGGATTTGTGGGTGCGGAAGCAAAGTCAGAGCAGAGAGCTCATGTTAATACGTCTAAAGGAGCACCTCCAATCAATGAATTTCTTATTGGTTTCCCAATGATTGCCATGCCGCCATGCTATCACATGTGTTGTCCTCATTTCCTTTGGTTCATGTTGTCAATGGCATCCTCGTGCATGGCTCTTGGCATCAATTTTACCACAGGCGGCATGTTCACCAGCCTAGATTGCTTGGCAGTCCCTGGTCCATGATTGAAGTATTCATTTTTGCTTACCCCCTGTAAGGATTCAAACATATTCAAACGCAGGGGTTGCTTCAAGTTTCGTGGAACACATGAACCAACCCTAGCTTCAAGCCCTTTTTGGGGCAAGCAAACAACGGAGCCCGGGTGTAGCGACGCGGCAAATCTCCCCTCGCGCTTGTCCCCGCCCAGCGACTACTTCTAGCACATCCGAGCAGCGCCGATCTGTTCAAAGGAGCGCCGTTTCTTTGGGGGTTGGCTGGGGCAGGTCCTTCTAAACGTGTCATATCATTCATACATTGTGTATATATATATATATACATATACATATGCAAATTGTATATTTACAGGGATCATATATATATATATATATATGTACACGTATGGGATACCTGCAGAATCGGAAAATTTTCCCCACAGCACAAAGCAGCAACCTTGACAGTTCCGACTTGTTGCACATTTGAGGTGACAGTGAGGGTGTCCTGAATAATGGCAGATGGGGTCTCCAGCGAGAGTGCCGAAGCTACTTGCTGCATATCCTCAAGAGGAAGACAGCAAGTTACTTTGGCCAAGTCAAGCCAAGACTTGTTGTTTGCCGCCGCGTACGTTTGACGTGTGATACTGTGATGAAGCTAGACTGCTTGGATATCTTCTGTAGGTCTGCTGCATGACATTAACAAGTGCAGTGGCTTGTTGTGGCTGTGCATGGGATTCAGTCTAAGTTAGTGAGCCAGACACTGCTGCAGGATCTGACAGAGGAACATCCTACATCTTGCAGGCAGGCTGTTGAAAGGGTGAGCGTAAATGGCAAACGAGTGCTGGAGCTTTGGAGACAGAGCAGGACTTGCGAGGCAAGCAAGCAGGCAGGTGAGAAACTGACAGACAGGCAGGCAGGCAGGCGGGCGCGCAGGCGGGCGGGCGCTAGAGCCGGGCCAAACCGGGCCCAGTCCTCCCTGAATTCTTTGGTCTGTGCAGGTGTTGAGCCTGTTAGCAGCGGATATCAACGGTCCTTTGGGCCTGTGTGCCGCCAGAGTCACGGCAGCATAGACAAACTTGCAGTTGCATGCTTCTTGGCTCGGAACCACAAGGAAATTGTTTGAACAACACACATTTTTTAAACATGTTCAAACAATGGGTTGGTCCAACCCTGCTTTGAATGCACGTGATGCGTGGATGCACAAAGGATACCTTGCAAATCTGTTCATCTACCAGACGAACAAGTGCGCGGCAGCGTGTATGTTCCGCCTTCGGGATTTGTGTCGCTTGGAGCATGAGGAATTCGACCTTGTTGGGTGAACAGAGATGTGCCTTCTGGGAACCCCCCCTGTTGGTTCAGCCCAACGCACACCGACCAGTTTTGAGGATACGTTGCAAGACGAGGGCTGGAGAGGTACGCAGCCTTCGACAAGCGCGACCTAGTGCTGAACGGGGTGGAAGCTGCGCTGAATTCGAGCAACAAGCATACCAAGGCAGGGTGGCTCGGGATAGGACAGCACTGGCTTTGGTGGCTCGAGATTACTTTTGGCCACATGGCTACCTATTGTTCTTCCCCTTGCTTAATGTCATTGGAGGTGTGAGCCACAACAAGTTGGGCCCAGTCACTTTTGCGCAGTTGGCCTGCACCTCGGTGCTTCTCAACCTCGCCATTGTGCTCTACGAGAGCAGCCAGCCCGTGATCCCTGCCTGTTTGCCCTTCCCGTGTGTGTGGCTTTGCCTAGCCAAGGGGTGGGTGTCACAGCGATCAGTGAGTTTTATTAGGGAACCACCTCAAAAGTGATTTGTGGACATGAATCCCCAGCTTAAATGGTGTCCACCAAAAGGTCCCCAATTAAATTTCATTGCCATAATGCAGTAGCCACAATGTTTTGGTGCCGAGCATCTTGCAATCGCAGTGTTGCTGAAGCCATTCCGATCTTACTGGCAGCCCAAAGCTTTCGACGAAAGCTGCGGACTTCGTGTGGCACGACTGGCGCTGACCTTCTTGGCCAAGGCTGGCTTTGCTGCTGTATGTCTTCTTGTGCCTTCTGAGTAGGGTGTGGCTCAAAATCAGGAGCGGCAAACCGCAGGTTTTGGTCCATGTTTCCATTTACCAGGGCAACCCATTTTGGTACCGGTCTTTTGAGCCACAGCCAGTAGAAACCTGGCAGAGGGACGATGCTTGCAGAAGGCGCTGGTGATTTGAAGTGTAAGGCTGAGGAAGAGGATGCGAGATGTCGGGCCATGCTAGCCATCGGCCCCACGCTGAGCTTATCCGAAGACCCGCAGTGCCTTTTGAGGGGTTTACCGTTTTTTCTGTTGCTCCCAAAAGGGCGCCACAACTGAAGGGTTCGTGTATTCCAATGAAGAACCCCTGGGTTGACGTCTTTTCAGCGGGCCGAAATTTTGAAATCCTGGTGACTTCCAGGAACTCTCCTGACCCGCGATCAAGCCAAGCGCGCTCTCTCAGCTGAATGTGGCAAGCTCAGACATGCAGGACATCGATCCGAGCAACTAGTTCGCGAGCAATATACCTCTGACCTTGACATTTTCGCAGCCGAAAAAAGCAGTTCTCCATAAATGAAGGTCCTTTGATCATTCTCAATCATGAAATGGAGGCGGCGATGTGATCTTGGATTGCGCGAGCATTTGGATTGCTTGCCTTTGGCAAGGTGCAGCAGCTGACCTTACCGGCAAGATCGCGGCATTGGAGGGCAAGGCCTCCGTTTGCAGCGTTGGGTGTGTCCAGTTTTGGGTGTCTCTCAAACAGGAGAACCTCCAACAAGGTTAGTTTTTGATTTAGTTTGAGTCCAAATATGGGTGTCTCTCAAACAGGAGTACCATCTTTCAAAGCACCTGAATGGAGGTGGGGGACCCTGGCTGTTGCCTTTCGGCCTCCCTTGAAACTCCCAACCAAGGCGGCTCCTGATTTAGAAGTAGCAGAGTGTCCTTCAAGTTTGGGTTGGGGGGGAAACAAGGGCATGATTTCGGGGGCTGACAATGCCACAGGCATTGCGTTGACATTGATGTGGGGAAAAAAGAGTTTGGGAGTCGCAAAGGGCGGGAACAAGAACAGTTTAGATTAAACAATGCTTGGATTCACTGCTTCGGTTGCAATATTTGCATCCATTTTGGGGGATAATTGGGTTAGCTCTCCAGAATGGGGGGGTTGTGGAATAGAATTTTGGGACACCCATGTCCTGTCTGTGCCGATTCCTTTGCCGCCAGTTGGGGCCTGCGGCTGCTTCTGACTTGCGAAGCCTATTGCAGAAGTAGGCAAGTAGAGAGAAAAAGATGTTCGAATGAGTCAGAGCACGTTTCCAACCGTCTATGGTCCATTTGGGAGAGGCATGGGGGACTCACTAGATTTTCGGTCCTCTTGGGGAAGCAGGTAATTTTGACGGTGCCTCATATGTTTGCTGATTTAACTTTTTGGACTAGTGCATTTTGTGTGGACGTGCTTGAGACGACTCCAGGGTTGAGGGGCTCTCTATTTAAGAATGATAGATAAATCATGGGATGTAAACATATAAGCTACTCAGACTGTCATATGTGTATATCCAAGCACACAACATGTACATATATATATATACATGTATATACATATATACGTATAGACATATGCACATATATTTGCTGAATATATATATATATATCTATATATAGAGAGAGCTAAATAAATATATACACCTCCCGAGACCCACCTTGAAGATGCAGAGCCGATCCTTCAGAGGCCCTTGACATTGTGGTCAAATGTTCTCGTAAGCAAGGACTTTTTAATAAGATTAACTAGAAGACACAACCAGCTTGTCTTTCCTCACTAGGATCTGTAGCTCAATTCCAATTCGAATTCTACTTGAAAATAAATTCCCGTGTAAAATCGCATTTCATATAAGACTTCCTTCTTGGAGAATAGTTGCTATCTAAAAGCTAGTTCAAAACAGTAGTTGCATTTAAGTTCAACATTTGTCATCGTACTTGGACAGGATATCCAATTTAAAATCCAATTCAACAGAATACGCCACCTCATTGAGTTCCGACTTAAACTGAAGCCTTGCAACTTGACGCTTACAAACCAGTATTCTGAAGTTGTATTTTCCCTGGATTTGTGTTGGATTTTCACTCCTTCTAAGGGGCAGACAAATTAGAAGAACCGACCAGCACATCTTTCCTTATTCGAGTCTTGCAATTGTTCACTGAAATTCTACACGACACTTACTTGGAAAAGGAATTCCTGTTTGAACTCTGAATCCAAATAGTAATTCTGATCGAACTACTTAGAAAGCACAAAACAGCTTGTCTTATATTTCGATTCTTTTACAGTTCTACTTGGAAAGGAATCGGTGGAAAACATCTAATTCAAACTCGGAATTCTAATTGGATTAACTAGAAGACACAGCCAGCTTGTCTTTCCTCACCAGGTCTATTCGAGTTGTAGCTAAATTCCAATTGGAATCCTACTTGGAAAGGAGTTTCTATTTACCATGTGTGTGTGGCATGTTGACAAAGGACAGAACATGAACAATCTATTTGTGCTTCCTGCGACTGTTCCCAAAAAGCTCCACAGTTTGTGTGCCTGTTCAGCGGCAGGTTCAAGGCAGAGTTCATTTGGCATTTGTGAAAATCTAGAACGCCATGTTGTGTATTTCATGATTAGTGGAGTTGCCGGGACATGCGTGTGCATGCACATGTGCAACATTTATGACCATCAGAATATCGATACTGATGCGGCGCACGATGGACTAGTAGATGTTATTGATGTGACCCGATTATCAAGGCTCGAACACAGCACACTCACAACGTGCAGATTTCTTGCGCACTACTGGACTTAAGCTTCTCCGTTATGCTGGACACACCAACTTCCAGACGTTGGTGCAAACATAAGCCCTTGCTGGTTTGCCGTGGGTAATTTTGGGATTTGCACCTCCTAGCCCCACCGCACAAAAACAACGTATTCACAGCGTCAACCATATCATCGACGCAGCTATTTCTTTGCTGGGCACAAGAGCATGTGTTTGTTGCTTCTGAACATCTGTTGTTTAGCACGGGCAGCACACGCAACTTCAGAGGTTCACGTTGTTGTTTCAAAACCAACGGCTTAACAATTCTGCCTGAGTCGGCCAGACACCATGATGTAGCGAACGCCGCTTCCCGATGGCTACGAAGCGCTGCATTGCTTTGCTCGGGAACGTTTCCAGCCATTTTAGGCAGGCAGCGATGCCGAACATGTTTGAGCCAGGTTTATCAAGAGTCAATGGTGTTTGATTGACTACGCTGCGGGATGTGCTCGTCACAATTAACTTGAAGGCAAAGAAGGTTGAACTTAGCACAGGTTTCAGCATTCTATGGAAACGCATAGACATGGCGGTGCTTGTGCATTTTGTGCTGCAGTAGCTGATACAATCACCGAATGTGTGCAGGCATCGGCAGATACCATGCTTGCATTCCCAGAGGAGATATTGGCCCTGCGCTCAACTGCATGAGGAACCCGTTGAAAAAAGCCGCCTGTTGCCTTTTTGGCAAAAAAACGTTTTGAGGTTTGACCCAGACGCCACCAGAAAGGCGCATGACAAGCCGGCTGCAGGATCCTCAGCTCCATGCTTGGGCCTTGGGGTTCTGCTTTTGAGCAAAGGTCACCAGCAGCCGTCACGTGTTCGTCAAGACTCAGGCAACGGGATCGGCAGGGTTCAAAATCAAGCCGTAATCCTTCACTGCAGATGACGGAGTAGGATTAGGGGATCCCCTTTGAACAATCCAGATAGAACTATGCTTGGGTACAGCATGACGTGCCGGACGGTCAGATGATTTAATTTGTAGGTTCCTGTGGTGCTCTTGCCCGCTCCCCAGTCACGCAATCATGGAAGCAACCGCATGCTATTGCTCTCGCGTTCCAGGCAGACAGTGCGTGGAGCCACATGCTCGGTATGCCCAACTTAGGGCAAGCGGCCCCACTATATTCCTTGCTGTGAGGTCGGAGTGAAGGGGCAGATTGTGCACGTGAAGCTGCGCCGGCATGTCTGTTTTCTGGATGTCAATCTTGATCCATGGGCAGAAGACATGTAGTTGAGTAAAGGCTTCCCATGTGGTGGGGACTCACCCCTATGAATCGCCATTGGCTTTTGTTACCTCGCCTCTGAGAAGACGGGTCAGCTATACACCCCTATGAGCTCCCCAGGTCTCCGGTTTTCTCGTTTTCTCTTCCTGAACACCAGGCGCGGCTATGCTCGACACACCCTGGTGCCCAAGGGCTTGGCAGCTTTTGGGACTTGGGAGAACATCGACGCCGCTTGGCATCGATTTGGCTGTGGTCAAAACCGTTTTGGATCCCATTTTGAGAAAGCCCATTTCAGGCTTCCTATTTTAGTGGTTGGATTGAATCGGATGTTCACTGGGGGTACGATTTGGCTTTGGACCCATGGCCATTTGTTGGGTTTCCAGGTGGGCACCTGGCGCTCTGAACTGAGGCATATGCGGACCCCGCTTTGATTGCGGATCCAACATTGAAGGCCAACGCGATGTGCGGCACTTTTTTTTCCATAGTTTGCTTCTTCTTTTTTTTTTGGGGGGGGGGGGTGTTCTTTTTTCATTGTTTGACTTTGCAACATCTTTGCTGGGCTCTGAATCAATCTATTTCATTGAGATTTGGAGGCACAGCATGCATCTAAAGTGGAGATTTGCAGAGGGGACATTTTGCTGGTGTGTGGCGCACCAGCCATGAGGCCCCGTGATTTTTTTGGCGCCAGGCACGGGTGGCCAGCGATCGCGGTCAGCTTCCCTTTGACTGGGCTTGTGCCTAAGTCAGAGGCATTTTGATGCAGGCTTTGCGCCATTCCGCCACAATAGAGATCTGTTGAACACGCCTACCATAGAAACACCAAACTGAGCAGACGGGAACTTATCGTGTCAGGACGGGCCATCCCGTTTGGGGGTTTCCAACAGACTCTATTTCCAACAGACTACATCAAGTAGGCGTCCACTCCTCCTCCCCCCTCCGAGGTGGATGACGTGCAACTTCGATTTGTCCGGCCGGCACGGGAGGCGGGTCAGAGGCTTTGAGGCAATCGGCAGAGAAGTTGTGGCAGGATCAGCTGACGCTGCTCATGGAACCCGTGTCTGTGTGGGACATCTTGGAGGACATGACTTGTCACCTACCCAAGCGCTTCTACCTACAGGGGACCAATAGCTTTCGGAGAACTAGAAATACATATATACACACACACACACACGCACACATACACGCATACACACACGCACACAGACGCACGTACACGCGCACCCACCCACGCATGCATGCACGCACGCGCATGCAGGCACCCACCGCACCCGCACCCACACGCATACCCACAGCATGAGAGAATGGCTGACAAAGATGATTAGTCGTTTGTTTTCAGTTATGTCTTTATTCATGAGATCTTCTAGCAGCCTGAAAGGATCTATCAGCAGATCATGAGCTGGATTTGCTTCCCAACAGCTCGGGACCTCAGATCAGGCAACTCAGTTTGCTCCATCCAACGAAAGGCCCGATGCCAAACGTGTTTCGTGCATCAACCTTGAACTATGCGAGCCGAGATCTGGATCTGCCAGATGCGGGCATCAGCCAAGTCGGTGTGCATGAGGCAAGAGGAAGATGTTTGCCAGGGGCGTTGGGTGGATGCTACTTGTGTCTGGCTTGTACAGGAGCAACGACATACCACAAACACCTTGGATTTCTTGGCCAAAACGTCATGCTGTCAATTTGTGTGTGCGTGTGTGCGTGTGTGCGTGTGTGCGTGTGTGCGTGTGCGTGTGCGTGTGCGTGTGCGTGTGCGTGTGTGTGTGTGCGTGTGTGTGCAAGGGGACCTTCCCATGAAATTGGTGGCATTCCTTTATTTGGTTTCCGTTTGAACTTACCGCCCAAAGTGTCCAACTCCAGAACAGGACAACCCCATATCTCCAGCGCATAGGTGCCGGTGCGTATCGCCTTCCGCAACCCGGAGAGCGCGGCAGGTGCGATATGAACGGCCCGAACATGAAGGTCATGTACCGAAGTAAAGGGGATGAAATGCTCCCCCCCCCCGGCCCCCCCATTTTAGGGGTTGCATTGAAGCCATCCAAAATGGGCGTCCTTTGAAGCCTTTCAACATGGGCTTCCTTTGAAGCCTTTCAAAATGGGGTTCCTTGAAAAACAAATCGCCCACTTTGAGCAATGGTCAAAAGTCCCGCGTGCGAACACAATGAATATTGACTGTGTCTCATGGGCATACCGCAAACTGTACCCATTTGGGCGAATTGTATGCCCGAGATTTGTTGGCTGGAGGAACTTTAGAAGAAAACCATAGAGCGAAGAGAGCCCGCTGTGTACAGCCTCGACGGGAGTTGCCGGAGTTGTTGCTTGAATTTGAGCTACTGACACAACCAGACTAGTTGTCCGGTATTTGTTGTGCGTGTGATGGCGGCTGGCCCTCATCGTTTTGTCCCACACAATGCGACTTCGTGCTTTCCCCACTTGGAGAGGACTTGGTTCATCCCCTTGTTACATCAATGACAGCGCTACGCTAGCGTGAGGAATGCTTTGTGCCTGTCTTTCGGTCATTTGCAACTTTGCGCTGGCCAACACAGGTAAGTACACGATCATGGTGGACATTGTGTCCAAGCAAAGTCAGGCCTTACATAGCAGTTCTTGTGTTGGTAGTTTGTATCGGAGTCTATGCAGTTCAACCCAACATGACTGCAGGATGCCGAGATTCAGAAGGAGGAGATGAAGAAGGTGTGGCACAAATGTTAAACAAACAGAATGGACGATTAAATCAGCGACTGCAAGGCCCTTGAAGAAGGCAAGAGCTATCGCTTGGTGGAGCGCGGCGGGGCCGAGGTGTGTGACTTAAGGGGGAAGCCGTAAGACCAAGGTAGGGCAAAGTTTGTTTAAACAACCAGATCCTGCCCCCCTTTAAAAGGGAAAGCAACGTTGGTCTAAACATGTTGCAACGAAAGGTTGACCCAACGTTGCTTCAGAGCCCTGAGCCCGTCGGTCGGCTGAGGATGATGTGGAGTCTGAAAGCGACGATGAGCCTGACGGCACCGTTTGATGCGCAAAGTCAATGTGCCTCGAAGCTGGCATGCTGGGATGGTGACATTTGGTGGGGAAGACCTTAAACTGGTTGCTGGACCAAAACCCCTGTAAAGGATGTCCACCAAAGGGTCCCCGCTTGAAATTCATACCGGAACGGCTCAAGCTGAAACCTGCGGCGCTGGTTCTTCCCTTGCGCTATGCAGTCAGATCGCAGAGGTGCTTGGTATTGAGCTTTTTGTTTTTTTCCCGCAACCAGCTTCCGGCAGGCCTTGCTGCGGGCTGCTTGTTTGTCCATGCCGGCTCCTCAGACACGGCTCCTTGAAAAATACATGTTGCCAGTTTGAAACATGGCTTTTTCCACCAAAATAAAGGGAACCCACCATTTACAAGGCAATGTTCAGGTGTATAATGTAAGGATCCCTGTGAGACATTGCTTGTTAGTGTCAGTCTTGTCAACCCCCCCACACTTTGGAGCGTCGCTGAAGGAGAATCAAAAGATGGCTTCAAGAAGGTGTCTACTCTGTTTACTTTGAGAAGCAATCGAGGAAGCTTCTCCTTCGGACGCTTTCAAGCATTTTCATCAAGAAGTCGGGAAGTATTGAATCGTAGACTGCCAGCACGGCAGGTGCTCGACAACATGGTATCTAGGAATATGTTATGCAATGCCCAGATCCTGATAGGCAGCACGAAATCGTGCAACGCTTCATTGTGCATGAGGATTCTGTAACTTGTAAGGCAAGTGGCCACATTCCACAGAGGTGTCTTACATTGCAAAGACTTCGGCCTGAGGTCAGACAATTAAATGGGGGGATGCTTTTGGAAACCAGAATGAAGCACTTGTTGAGATGTTTGCCGCACGGACAAAGGCCTCTCTTGGAGGTGGATGAGGCGAGAAGCTGCCACGCGTATAGCACGTTGAACACTTGCTGGTGCTTGCCAAGGCTGTTGCGATTTTCTGAGCTCCCCTGAGAAACATGATGCCCCCAGACTACCATCACTCTTGTTGTTTTGGTTGTTGTTGTTGGCGGCTTCGTTGTGGTTCCGAGAGTTGTAGGCACCGTTATCCTCTCATCATGGCCGCCGCCGCCGACGCCGCCGCCAACACCAACACCAACAACACAAACACCAGCACCAGCACCAGCACCAACACCAACCCACTACCACCACCAACATTGGCTATGACCATGGCCATGGCGATCACGATGATAACGTTGACGATGATGACGAAGAGTGCGATGACGACGACGATGACGACGACGATGGCGATGGTTTGCACTGATGCTTAGGATGATGATGATGATGATGATGATGATGATGATGATGATGATGATGATGATGATGATGATGATGATGCTGATGCTGATGCTGATGCTGATGCTGATGCTGAGGCTGAGATGCTGATACTGAGGATGACGATGACGCTGACGATGATGACGGCTTGAGCGAAAGCTAGCCAGTCCAACAACGACATGTATGATCCAGTGGTTGCCAACAACATATTGAGAATAGCAATCTTAAATGGATACCCAGAAAGTCGTTGAGACCCAAACTTGGACAACGTCTTCATGAAAAAGAGTCCCTAGCCGCAAGCAATCGCAAACATGCGGACGATATTTTGGGAACGTGCTGGCAGTGTGTTGGGCGGAGGGGGCAGGAGTGCTATTTGCGCCAGCATCAACATCAGCATCAGTACCAGCACCAGCATCAGATCAACATCAGCATTAGCATCACCATTCGAGGGGCGCTTTGATGCGCATGGCATTGTAACATCTCCCCCCTCATGGTAAGACCGTGTGTCTGACCAGGAGCTATCAGTGTCGTTGACCTGGTCAGTTGACGAGGCCTGGCTTCGTTCCTGCAGCTCCAATTCTGAAGCTTGCCCATGTTCTCCCCCTGAAGACAAGAGACAGTTCAAAAGTTCTGCTGATATGTTGCAGGATGGCACCCTGCGACACAACCCTTCGGGGATGCGGGTCTGCCTGGCACTGCTTCGGTTACGAACCTTGCAATCTCAGCTTGCGTTATGGCAGGTATCACCTGACAAGGGCGTCGTTGTGGATGGCCAAGAGTACAAGCTTTCTCCGCAAGACATTGACCTGGACTGCTGCCTCCGATTCGGCAAGATTTGTTTCAGCCTCCACCCCCCTAATCCCCTCAAAACGAAACCAGCAGCATTTGTTCAAATGGGTTTAGGGGGGTTTAAGGGGATGAAAATGGTTCAAACCGATTGTTCAAAACGAAAACAGCATTTGTTCAAATGGGGGGTTCAAGCGCCATCTTTTTTAAAGCAAACACTTGAATCGCCCCTGCCTCGCTTTTTTTCTCATCTGGGGTGGTCCCCATGTGGGTATGGCTCAAAAAACCGGCATTCCAAAATGGGTTGCCCTGGAAAGTGGAAAAATGGGTACCAAAACCTGCGGTTTGCCCCAGCTCTTCCATTTTGAGCCACACCCAAATTGTATTCGCCTTGCGCTTCAGCCAGGATCGCAGTTCCACCCTTGGAGCCGGCGCCGGCGGCGTGGCGCGGATCCCGGCGATCTCGCCGCTCGTTTTTGGGGTGGCGATTTCGCGAAACCCCGCATGGTTTGCGGGTGTCCTGCTGGCTTCCCGCTAAAACCTCCAAACATAGGTGTCCTTTTTGGTTGGTTTGCTTGAAAAATAGAGGACGATTCCTGGTTTAGATGGGGTTTCTTCCGTTTGCCAGGGCCATCTATTTTTCCAAAAGGCCACCTATGCCTCCAAAAAGGGAAAAGGGTGGCCTCAAGACCCACACCCGTTGATTCCGGAAAAGGTTCGGGCGCCCACTTTGCCCGGTTCTCAAGCTCGGGGCAGCGGAGGTTCAGGCCGGCGTGCACAAGCCGACAGGGATGAAGGTGGCCATCAAGACCGCGGGACGCACAGAACTTTGAACTTGAAGCGGAGATGTGGGCGTGTCTTACAACCGGGGACCCAACCTATTTCCCTTTTTGGCGGGGTTAAAGCATCACCTTTTTGGCCCATGAAAGGTGAGTATCCCCTTGGTGAGGGTGATGTTTCAAGGGGAAATATAGGGAGCCCTGTTAAAACCGGGGACTCCCACAAAAATGGCGGATGTCCTTTTGGCTTCACATGTGTGGGGGCTAGTTGTTTTGACACATGTCCAGATGAGAATAGAACCAAGTACTGGTAGTCTATGATCCTGCGGGGGACGAGAAGCCTTCTTTGGTTTTAGCCTTCTTGAAAATCAAATGCCCAAAAAAAAAAAGCTCCTTGTCCCATTGAAGCTTCTTAGAAGTTTAGGGATTTAGTACTCGAGACGATTATATGTTCACACAAAAGCGGGCAGTGAGCCCCCTTTTCTTTGTTCGCATCGGGCAAAGGCGGAAATCGCATTCTCCATAGGTGAAGGTGGACCAGAAGGAGAAGCGCGAGCAGATGCTCAAGGAGATCAAAGGCCTTGTCTTGGCCAGAGCCTCGCGGCGGGTTGAGCCTCGCGTTTTAGGCTCGATCGAGTGAAAATCTGTGAGGCCGCGGGTTGTCCCTACTTGGTGCAGTGGTACGCTGGTTTCGTGGGCAAGGACAGAAATGAGGAATCACAGATATGTCTTAGCACGGCGCATATGCGAAGGACACTGGCCTGGTTCATGTTGCTGGCGCCTGAGATGTACTAGAAGTGCCTCAGTGCCGCGTGCAAAACTGCTAGGTCGTGGAACTCATGGACAAAGGCAGTCTTGCCGATCTCAAAAGGCAGGATGCCACATGTCTCTCTTTTTACATGACGGATGAGAAGCCTGAATCTTTTACTAGATTGGAAGGTGTCACAACCATTAACTGCCCTTGGCACCCAGCAAAATAGTCTTTTTGTTGTTCTTCCGGAACCCCACCAGTCATTCCATGTCGCGTGTTTTTTTGTTGGAGGTTATTCTTTTTGGGGCGGTTGTGCGGGGAAACCAAGCGGAGAGCCGCCAGGTCTGGGGGGGGTCCCGTTCCAACTCCTTAAGCTGTCGGAGGGTTCCTGGCACCCCTTCATGTTCACTCGCTCAGGCAAGTGGGAGGTCCGGTGCCGTCGGGATCCTGGGGCCGGCTGGTAGGGCTGGTCATGGACTTCCAGTTATTTTTTGCCCAAACCGGCCATGGTGTCCTGTCGTTTGCCTCAAAGGTTCAGGCTCTAAGTTTGGACACGAACCTCTGAAAAATTGCCCGCTGGTTTTGACCGCCTCAACGATCCTAGTAGACACAGACGGGAATAAACAGGGGGTCCTTGCCGATAATGAGCCCCTTCTATTCAATGTGCTATCAAGATGATGGCGGGGAAGAGTGTGTTCGATGATGGCACCAAGAGACCATAGGTGTCCTTTTTGGTTGGTTTGGTTGCAAAATAGAGGGCATATTTTTTCCACCTGGTGGTTCAATCATCTACCAGGGCCACTTATTACGAAAAAAGGACACCTATCCTAGAGACCAGTTCTCAAGGCAAAGTGAGCCACAATCAAAACCCGGGCAGATGAGGGTTAGCAAATTGATTATAAATTCTTTACATGGCTGTGGGTAGACCATTTTAATACCGGGTTTTGATTATGGCTCAAGTGAGCCAAGGCCTGAGCATCTGGCCTGCGCAGCCGCGCAGATCACCAGAGGGCTAGAGCATCTTCAGAGCAGGCCAAGCTTCGTCCGGCCGAGCGAGCGAAGCGAGAGACGAGATTCTGCCAGTGCCGGGTGGGGGGGGGGGTTGAGCCTTGAAATGCTCGGCTCACCCGGCGATTTAAAATGAACCTGGAGAGAGAAAACATTAGCCATGCTTGTACCAATCTAATTCTAGTCATGGTCGGACTTGATGTTGTTTTGGATCATGACATCGGGCACGAATGGTTTTGAAGGCGACTGCTTCACAGAGATGTCAAGCCGGCGAACATCTTGCACAACAGCCTGGGCCAGGCACCGGCCTTCTGTGATAGATCTCATGCAAGTGTCCCAATGAGGATGATGGTATGCCGACACTAACCATGCTGAAAACTCTACCTAGTGCTTTGTCATGTTTGCTGTTTGCTTCGCAGGTAAAGTTAACCGACTTCGGCATTTCGAAGGCCTGAGCCTGTGGCAGGGAAGGCACAGAGCTTTGATCGCGCATTGTTCAGGACTTAACATCCACTGCGGGTGTCGCGGCTAGCTTTGTGGGCACAGCCAACTACATGTCACCTGAGCGAGCGCTTGGGAAGGAGAGCCTGACCGAGCCGAGTCATGTGTTGTGATGTATTCTGACGATCTGGCAGGACTACTCATTCAGGCCTGGGATGTTGCTGCTGCAATGCACTTTGTTCCATTTGTAGCGCAGTCAGGTCAGATGCCAGGCTCCCAGTGCATGGTTCGGATGAGAGCTCATGAACATGTGCTCCTTCCCCTTCAATTGGTGAGGTTTGGAGCGCTGGGATGGTTGTACTGGAGTTGGCGAATGGAAAGTGCCCTTGCTTGCGGACCTGGCCCTGTGCGTTTTGCCACCCAACCTGTTTGGCCCCCCAGGCAGTTCTTTGTTGCCCAACCAGAATTCCTACAATGGAGGTCAAACAGGTGTGGGCTCTGAGTGAATTCAGCCTTGGGAGGTACCCCTACGAGGCCAAGAATTTTCTCGACCTTTATGAGGCCTGCCAAAGCTGGATTTGACGTGGCGGGTTGTTGCACGACTCTAGGTCCCCCAGTAGTGCCCTTTTACCATTCCTTTTTTGGCTGGAGGGTTCCCCTACTGAAACAGACTACAGAAAAAGGGTACCCTTATTCTAACCTCTCCACTGGAGGACCTAGTCTA